ATAGATCCAAGGTTTATAGGGTTGCATGTACACCATAGGAGTGTTAGAATGCTCAAAACCCAACAATTTAGACGTGTTTTTTGGGCTTTTTCTCCTTCTATTAAGGGGTTTGCACGTTGTCGACTGGTGATTAGTATTGATGACACACACTTGTATGGTAAGGACATGGGAAAGATGTTGATTGCAATGGGAGTTGATGACAATAATCAAAATTTTCCACTTTCATTTGCTATTGTAGAAAATGAATCTTATGATAGTTGGAACTGGTTTCTTTCTTATATCAAGAGTCATGTGGTGAAAGAGCAAGACGACATTTGTTTAATATCTGATAGTCATTTTGGAATCCTAAAGGTAGTCAATGAGCATGGATCTCCATGGTTAGAGCCACGTGGTTTTCATAGGTATTATTACTATTTTTTGTATATTTTTTTCATAGTTATTGTTTATAAGTAACATTATTTGTTTTATAGGTATTGTTTACGACATTTTATCAACAACTTTAATGACAAAATTCATAATTCAGAATTGAAAGCTTTGGTTTATCGTGTCGGGAGTCAGAATCAAGTTCGAAAATTCAACTCCATTATGGAAGAAATTGGGAAGCTAAATCCACAAGCTCGACAATGGTTAGAGATATATCCATTTTCTAGATGGACACTTGCACATGATGGTAGGAGGAGATATTGGCTTCTCACAACAAATTTGTCAGAGATTTTTAACAGTGTACTTAAAGGTGCTTGTTTTTTTACCAATCACAGCTTTTGTCCAACTTACTTTCTATAGATTGGTGCACTATTTTGAAGTGAGGTGTCCTTTAGGATCTAGTGCTCGAGCTAATGGAGATGCATATACTCCTCAAGTTGTTGTAAAACAAGTAGCTTTAATGTCAAAAACAAGTGCACACTCATTGATATCTTTTAATCGAGAGAAGGGTACATTTGAGTTGATAACTCAAAGAGGAAAAAATGTGCAAGTAGTTAATTTGGATAATAAAAAACCTACACATGTGGTAAGTTGGAGCTATTTAAATATCCTCGTTCTCATGTTTTGAGTGTATGTGTCAAACTATCCTTAAATAGTTGATAATATGTTCATAAATGTTACTCAATTGCAGAGTATTGTTCTACTTGGGTATCCGAGTTTTCCTCACTTCCTAATGAAGCGTATTGGCCACAATCTTTATCTATACAATTGCTTCCAAATTTAGAGCTTTTACGGAATACAAAAAGTTGTCCTCGCTCAACGAGACTACGAAATGGAATGGACATCAAAGAAGGGAAAAATGGGTACATTTGTGGGATTTGTAGGCAAAGTGGTCATAATCGGAAAAGATGTATGTCCAAGCCAAGGTAAATGAAGAGACATTAAAGCTATCCGACTCGAGCAATAGAAATGTTTGATTTTTCCTTTTCGTTTTTGTAAGAAGTCATTGTTGGATTTGTACTCAAAAAATATTGTATGTTTGATGTTGATTTTATTTTAAGATGTCTAACAATATTATTTATAAATGAATTTTATTAAAAATTTAGGACATTTAGTGCGATTGAGTCAATTTCTTGTGATTATGAAATGAGATACAATGTTTGTATTTTTTTATATAAGTTAATATCAAAGAGTTAAAAAAAGGTCAAAATATATATTCAAAACAAATAGCTGAAAATATTAAAAAAAAGTTAAAAAAAATGTTTTGATAAATATTTTGACTGCTATACTGTTTTGGTAAATATATTTAAAAATACGTCTACTTGATAAATATTTTTTTCAAATACATCTATTTGGTCAAAAACTCCACTTTCACATGATATGATAACATAACTATCTTAAATGTAGCCATTAATGATGTTAAATGAAATGCATATGCATGAGAGGCTAGAGATATTTTCAAAAAATACATAGCCTCCCTTTTAAATTAAAAACCATTTATATGTCATATAGACGTATTAATATAACGTCCAGTTTATTTTATTAAAGTGATTCATTATATTTTTAATTTAAAAGGGAGGCTATGTATTTTTTATAAGACATCGGGGTACCCTAAAACGGAATAAAGATTTCGTTATGAATTGTTGTAAACCCGATAAGAAACCCGTAATCCGACAGGAAAACCCGAAACCCAATGGGACGCCCCGATAAGATACCCGAAAAATATCGGGGCGGGTTTGGGAAACCATGCCCCGCCCCTTTGCCATTCCTATTGTAGACCTATGTTTTCAACTAGGTATGCACTACTTTTAAAAAAAAATGAAATATACATTATCAAAAAATAATAATTAGATTATATGCCGTGTAATAACAATTAGGGTTGCATACCAAACCTCGTATGTGGGCACATCTTTAAATCATATTAAGATAATATTTTATATTCACTAATTTTTGAAGAAAATTGAACATTTACTAAATAATGGAAGTTTTTTTTATCACATTCCTAACGTAATGATAAATATCTTCTAACCTTGATGTAGACAGTAAAAGGCACCAGTGGTCTAGTGGTAGAATAGTATCCTGCCACGGTACAGACCCGGCTTCGATTCCCTGCTGGTGCAATATTTTCTGATATTTAAGTTAGTCCTCTAGTATCATTACTGCAACAACTTTTATTGATAAAGAAACCACCGACTTCTCATTTGAATTTAGTTTAAGCTTAAAAAGTATTTTAATATTACTTTTGGTTTTCAATCACTTTCTTTACTTGCAGCTATTTATAGGTGTAACAATTTTTGAATTAAATAACCAATACCAATAAATGAAGACAAAGCAAACAATTAAAATGACAATCAAATACACATAAAATTTAACTTTAAAAATATCTACATATTATCTTTGTTTCAAGTGTATTTTATTATTTTACTGTTCTGTAAAAAAACACGCTAATTTAAAAGAGAGGACACGGTTCTCCTCCGTCTCCAAATTAGACTGAATAATAATTAAGGGTGACATCTCCCAACACATTGGTAATCACTCAGTTAAAAAAATAAATATCTTTGCTTTATCTATTATAAACCTCAAATATAAAAAGATTTATTTGTTTCTTGGTGTATCTAATTTTAACCCAAATACGATTAGTATCGAAAGTTTCATTCTTTTTACTTTTTATGTTTATATTATCAGTGTTCAAAGTCCTATTCATATGGATTTGGCCAAATTTGTGATCTAAAAAGTAAACAAAATATACCAAATACTAAATCTCTCATTCCACGAATTGTTTAAATTTTAGTGGACACCTGCTGAAAATTTTCACTGTCTTATATTTACGGTAGCAGTGTAGCACATTCAATCATATTGTCCAACTAGTTATAACTTGAATGGCTTGATTTACCATTTATGTTTAGTGATTTTGGATAGAAATATACACAAAATCATATTGTCCAACTAGTTATAACTTGAACTGTTTGATTTACTATTTATGTTTGGTGATTTTGGATAGAAATATACACAAAAGATGCTTTATATTGTTTATGCAATTTCTGAAAATTACTTTGTTCTTTAACCTTTTTTTTTTTGGAATAAAATTGGTAGTTTTAAAATTTAGAATTTTTATTTACATAAAAGTTGTAATCTTGTAAGAGAAAAAAATTCTTTGATTCCCCACCAACATCTCCATATCCCATGGGAATAAAAAGATGCAGATGCATTTATATTTTCCGATAGAGATGAGAATTGTGTTCCCTACTCTATTATCATCTCTAATAACAACTTAAAATAGATTGAAACTAGATCTATTCTTCTAAAACATTCTATAATTTATGAACAAATAAGTTCAACCTCTTTCGGTTAAAAAATTTAGATTTAACCCTCACCACTTTGATCAACTCGTATATTGCGTGTTCGGCACACAACGTTTGAGAGCTTTTGACTTTTAGCTTTTAAAAAAACGCTAGTAAAAAAGAAAAAGTTTTGTTCGGCGACATGAGCGTTTAACTTTTAGTCTAAACAAAACGCTCCAAAATCAAATGTTACCCTCTAACTGCTACCTGCTACCAGCTAGTTCTGTCGAAGACTCCTACGGTCCATATAGGAAGCCTAAACAGTAGTAGATTAAAAGAAACTTCCATCAAAAGGTCAAATTAATGTGATAAGCATATGCCCCAATCGGTCAAACCTAACCTTGGTATAAATCACAACATACGTGTTAATATTGGTATAGGCTTATGTAACTGTTACGAGGGTGCGAACACGTGTCTTTTCAAATTTCCATTGGTATATCAATTTTTTTTATATAAAAGCATAGGAAGTCTCTCTTTCAAAGAACTATATAACTTCACAGAACGTCGAATTTGGTGGCTAACATATGATTGATGAAAAAAACATATATAGACTGCATAAATTTTAGGTAGCTTCCACATTAATAATTCCGGTCATCTTCATCATTTCCCGATCGGAATTACTGAACAACTGAGCCACCGAGGTCACTACGTGGCACTTATTGGTACTACATGTGCTACTGGACTTTTTCTTCTTGACTTCTGCGGACGACGAAGATGCTGAAGACGTCGTTGGAAGCGGAAACACCGATGGTATCTCGAAGTTAGTCCTTGCACTAGCACCTCTCATCCGCCTTGCCGCTGCGTCGTACGCACGCGCCGCTTCCTCCGCAGTGTCAAACGTCCCCAGCCAATGCCTGCAACGCCCTATCTTGTCACGTATCTCCGCCGACCACCTCCCCCACGGCCTCTTCCTCACCCCTCTGTAACTCTTCTCCACACCACCATTATTCTTAACCGGTTTGGACTTTGATCCTTCGCTGTGACCACTTGATGTAATACTACTTTTTCCGAATAGAACCTGTTCTCCGACCACGGCGGCAATGCCTTCCAGAACAATAGGGTTTCCGACGGCTATGTGTTCCGATGAAATATTGGTTTCCGGAGACGGGGTTTCAAGATTTTGGTCGAAAATCGAGGAGTTTTCTAGAATTTGAGGTGTGGTCAAGGAATTGTAGAAAAACTGAGTGTTCATTGTTTTGGATGCTATGTTTTTAGTGGAAGTGGAGATGAAACAGTATCTATCTTCTGTTTACTAGCAGTAGGATCTAAAGAGGCACACGAAAGCTCTGCATGGGAAATGGTGAGTGTACCCTTACCATATTTATACACCGAGTTGATCCGACCCGAAATACTAAGAACAACCAATTTCATATATAGCCAAAATTTCGAGACTACATTACAAAATACATAGAATATTTTAGTACGGTATATAAGAATAATAATTTTGAATTAATTTTCTTTTCAAAAGCAATATATGTATGTATTAACTTAATTATATGATTATATCATTATCAACTATCTTATCTTAAAAACTATTTACATTTTAGTTACATCAAAACAATTCTACTATGCAGTGGCGGCCCTGGGTGTGTGGACGGTACGGTCGCTCGGGGACAAATTTATAGTTATTGTGTTGGTATTTTTATAAAATACATTTTTATGTGTTATCATTAAATAAAATTAGTCGTTTCTTCTAAAAATACTAGAAAATCGATGTTTTAAAAATAGTAATCCATTTTTTTTTTAAAGTTGTTTGTAACAATTACAACTTATTACTAATGAGCAAAGAAATGATGATGTGCCAGTGAATGTACAAGATGTTTGTTAACAAATTTAAATTTTGAATTCAACTTTAGCAAAATTACTAAATACTAGTATTTTACAAAGAAAGATTATGGGGCCTCATTTTTATTTTTATACAAATCTTCCGAAATGTCAGGGACGGGCCTGCGATTATGCAAGACAAAATAATCCACTAAGGTAGTGTTTGTTTTTTGTCTGCAGATCTGCGTGGTCTCTTCTGTCTGCGCCGCGCAGACCACGCGCAGACATTAGCCTTCGCAGACTGTTTGTTTTTTTGAAGACTGCAGACCTAAAAATGTCTGCGCGCCCTCTTCTACCCTAAAAAAATATATATATCTTTATTTTTTTTAAGTTTTTTTTTTAATTTATATTTTTTCCAACTTTACTAATGATAAACAATTTGAAAAAAAATTACAAAACTTAAAAAAAAAAACGTTCGACGATACAAATATGATATTTTTGACAAATTTATAAATAAAAATTTATTACAATAATAGTCGTTGAAGTTGTTTATATAAATATAAAAAAAATCATAATATATTCTTATATTTTTTTGCCAAATTTTGTAAAACATTATTTAATACAGTATCGTCAATTTCTCGAAAAAATATTTATGGTACGTTTTTAATGGATTTAATTGAAAAAATCGAAGTTTATTTCCATCCATTTATGTATCAAATTCTTTGATCACTAATTATAATGTTTAATTATAACTTTGCAACCAAAGTTGTTGGTTTTATCAAATATATACGTTAATTCATACTATTTTTATTTTTATTTTTTATACAATAATACATAAAAGTTGATCTAGATTCATTAATTATTTATAATAAAGTCATAAAAATATTATAAAATCACTTTGAAGTTTAAAAAAATCAGTTTATTTAGATTTTAGTTTATTTTAGTAGCCCGCAGATGTTAAAAAAACAAACAGTCTTCTTTTTTTCAGACTGCAGACGTTTGGTCCACCTCTTCTACTGCAGAGGTCTACAGATGTAGTCCGCAGACTGCAGACATTTTGCCTCAGAAAAACAAATAACACGTAAACAATGTGCGACCTATATTGTCAATCTGTTTGTATAAAAGTACAAAGTCTGATTCTTATATATTATAATAATGACATGGGGCTGAAAGCCTGAAATTACCATAACACCATTGTGATGGGTAATTGTGGGATTTATTAGGTTATCGTCATGGTAGCGTAAGTTGGGAAAAGATTGTTTTGACATTTGGGTGGTGGGTTTTAGTTATGCGGGTGGGAGACCGTGGTATATCTGATGGAAGGCAAGATGTGACCATCGTTTTCTGACCATGGACTCGTTGGTAAGACGATGATTCTTTGATTTACGAGGTTCAGTTCAGCCTTCAGCCACTGCTCTGGTGTCATGTGTTGCTGCATGGTAAATATCATGTATCATCATCACATTAATGTGGAAGTCTTCAAAAGATCCTTACAAATATTATAAAAAATAAAACAAAATCATAACTTAAGTGTAAAACTATAAATGAACCAAGTAGAAAAACTATAAAACTTGGTCGTTGTTTACTGAAACTTTCCTAACTTTTAAGTTCAATTAAATCATTTCCTGGTTAAAATTTAAAATTTTCCATAATAACAGAACGTAACTAGAATAGAGTGCTTAAATCTTTTTATAAAACAACATATTAACGAATGTGGGAAAATAATTAAATTTTATTTCTACTTAATGAAATTATTTATAATAATTAAGTAATATTATATAAAATTTTGAAAGTACCCTCAAAATTTTAAAACGACCGATTAGATATTAAAAAAAAACTTTTTTGAAGCATCTCGCAGTTATGACGGGAAATCTAAACAAAGTACAAATTTTGCAGTTAAAAGAGAACTAATGACACATGATGACGCAAACTAATGACAAATCATTTGATGATTCTCTGCCGATGAATAATATCAATATTATTGATTTTTTTCAAAACTATTCCATTTATTACCTCCAAAGTGCTTAATGTACCTGAGATATACCATCGTTAGGAGAGATACGTATAAGGCTGGACTCCCTCGTTAAATCGCAGTGACACGTAGGCGTCACCTCACCCATTACCACAAAAGTGTGGTTTCATACCACACCCAATGAATGGTGTCACACTCCTTTAATTATTTTTAATTTTAAATAAATAACATTTTTAGTTTTAATTAAAAACAAAAGATTTCATTAATTAAAAAAAACCATTACATTACTTAAAAAAAACATGTCATTAAAAAAAATCCTACGAAATTAGAAAATAAAAAAGTAGAAAGCTTAAACCTACAACTTAAAAAAAAATACACACATCAAATAATTAAAAACTTGGAAAACAACTACAAATTAACCACGATTAGCGTAACGTTTTTTCACGTCTTCCTTCATTTGCAAAACAACTTGAAGCGCATCCCCGGTCAAATTCGACGTGTCCATCGATAGCACTCTCAAATCGTCGTCCCTTTGTTTCCGACTCTCTCTATCCGAAGCAAGTTGCAAAAATTTATCCATTCTATCTTTTATGCCTTGCACGTTCTCGCCCATTTCTTTCAAGTCATTCGATTCCGACGCTTTGCCCTTGCCTTTGTTTTTTGTTTTGTCCATTCCCATTGGTCGGGGGGTGGTGACACTTGAACGGGCTCATCCTCGTTGAGGTCGAAACCAACACGAGCATCCGATGAAGTGTGATCGGATTCGGAAGTTCTTGATCGTTTTGATCCACTATCGATGTGCTCTTCACTTGTTTTTAGTTTTTGCCATTTTTTGTTGCCTTTAAGTAGATTCCAAACTTCAAAAAATTTGAAAGTCTTTTTTTGCTCTTTTTGATAAATGTTAAAAGCTTTCTACAAAATCACTTCGTCACTTTCGCCGCTTTTCCATTGCCGTTTCATGTTGTTATATAAATCGTTAAACAACATGACGTCTTTGTTCATCTTTCCCCATTTTGAGTACACCTGATGTTTAGTATGATATGGTTCTAGGTTCATTCCTTTGTGGAATCGAGCTCTAACGCGCATCAAAAAACGATCATGTTTTTGGTTCCGTTCCGTCTTCGCGTCCTCTGAAACGTCAATCCATTATTGTGCTAATACTAACTCTTCTTGAGGTGACCACGGTTTAGCTTCCGCCTTCTCTTTTCTTTTAGTTCCTGGTTGAGTGGTTGAGTTTGTGAAACAAATTCTGGTTAGCATTCGGAAATGGATGTTTGTGGTTGTGATTGTGTTTGTGGAACAAACTCTGGTTGGGAACCAAAATCAAAAGGATCAAAATCTTGGTCAATTTGTGGTTGTGTTTGTGGAAATGGTTGCGTAGGACGTTGTGGTTGTTGGATATGTTTGTGGAAAATAGGGAAACATATCCCCATAGTGGTAGAAAGGAGGCGAATAAACCTGTTGATCGAGTGAAAGTCTTGGAGTTGTGGTTTTTCTAGTGGGTGTTTTTTCGTTGGTTTGATTTTTGGAGGATGACATTTTTGTGGGTTTTAAAATAGAGAAGATGGTAAAAAAAAATAAAATGTTTGTGAGTGCTTTTGGTTACTTTGATAATGTATTTATAGTATTGGTAAAAAAAATAACTTTTTTTGAAAAATGACCGTTTGCAAACGGTAACCACGAGGACCAATCACATTCAAGGAAGAAACGCTCCCCCTGGAAGGCCGTAGTGCGGCCTCAGCAGCACCTGGACCGCACTCAGGGGGTGGTGTTTGTGATGATGTGGTGGATAGAGTGCGGTCTGGACTGCACCCACTCTGTCTGGCCTAATATCTTTTATTTTCATATATGTTAGGTTATTTTATTTATTTATTTATAATTATTATTATTTTTATAAAATTTATTTATTTATCTTTGTTTGTGTGATTTAAAAAATATGTTTTGGCGTTTTGTTTGAAAACATATTTAATGTTTTGTCCAAATAAAATTTTGGTGTTTTTTTATTCATTTATATTATATTTGACGTTTAGTTCAAATAATATTTTTTTTATTTTTTAAAGCTTTTGTTAAAATATATTTTTCATTTTTAATTTTTTAATATTTATTTTAAGGGTTGTATTTCTTTAATATAAAATGTTCTAATACTTTTGAAGCTCGTTAAAACATTTTTTTAAGGATAAACTGACCATAACAATCAGGTAATGAGTTCAAGACCATGTCAATGGCCAATTCCTCATTAAAGTGAATGTTGAGCTTGACCAAACGCTCTATGTAGCGTTGCATTCTTTGCACATGAGATACAACCGACTCCCCTTCTTTCATCTTGCAAGCCATGAGTGACTTGACTACTTCAAACTTTTCTTGACGAGCTCGCTTATGGTACTTTTCCATAAGGTCATTGTTCATCTCAAAGGGCCAGTAGTCCTCATAGTACCTTTGCAGTTCTGGGGACATGG